ATAATTAATGAACCCATAACTAATATCTAATTAAATTCATATTAAATTTTACATTTAGTTAGAGATCACTCCTCCCCTACTTCTTCAAAAATGAATTTTAGTTTTAAATGAATTACAAAATAGGAAGTATAGCTCGTGCCATTGTGCTCCATAATTTTTTATCTCCAAAATATTATAACTTTTTAGAAAATGGTATAGAAAAAATATAACTTAACAAGAAATAAAAGAATTTTTTGATGCTTAGTTTATACCACTGACTAAAAGAAATAAAAATAGAAAAGCTACTCTTCCATTTTCGAAGTAGTTTACGAAAAGATATATAAAAAATATAAAAATTAATATGATTATAAGAAATAAAAATATAAAAATGAACATGAAAATATATAAGAACCTGAAAAATTAGTCAAAAAGAGTCAATCAGCTGTATTTATCCTCCTGCAAAATGAAGTATTATAATAAATTTAGAACTAGTTGAGCTTGGAAAAATAAATATCGAAACCCAAGCATTAAGAGAATTCATTATAATTATTAAAAAATTAAAAAATTTCAAATAGCATGATTCAAATTATCTCAGTCCATCTTATTCAACTAGAAAATAAAATTGAACAAATACAACATCAATTAAGGAATTAATAAAATAAGAAATTCCTAATTAAAAAGAACATATAAAAGAATCTAATGCCATTGTTAACCCTATTATCATAATAATTCCAACAATTCAATCAAATCCTTCATTTAATTATAATTTTGGTCCTAGTAAACAAGATTTTGAAGAGTTTGTACAAAAATTTAAATATGCACATATTACAGCCTTATATGAAATATCTTCCTCTAAAATTTCTGAAAAATCAATCTCATAAGAAGATATAGAAAAAAATTCAAAACTCTTTTAATACTCTGCAAATTCAACCATTTTTAGAAGTTAATAGCTAAATTATCTTAGAAAACCATTAATTCGTTATTATTATAATAGACCCACTCCTATGAATGTTCTTCACGAAGAAGAAGTTTCGAAATACCAACATCAATATGATCCTTCCAAGGTATATGAATGGAATGTTGATGAATCATTTGATCAACAAATTGGAGAAACCATCCATAGAATGTTAATATCTGCTAGAACAACACAATTTCGGTAAAATATGCTCCTAACGCAGCGAGAATGATCACCGACGTGTTTATTGGAATCGTAAAGGTTGTTGAGATAATTTTATGACAATAAAACTAAAATAGTTTCCTTTAAGTGAAACAAAATTAGAAGAAGTCACTCTCCAAATACTGAAGCTATTTATCATTAACGTATGAATTCAGAAGAACAAATTAGATTATTATTGCAAAAATTAAGATGTCATACTCTTACACATTTTAGATAATATAAAAATGTTTTTTTCTTGAAAGAGTGATGAATTTACTTGAAGCTAATCATAATTATTAGAAACAAAAATTTATCGTACGACTTCCTAATTTATTTGTAGAAATAGTTAAGAAAACCATTATAAACCGTAAAACACATATTGATATTACAAAACATCTCACTTATGGCAAAATCATTTGTTTGTATTCAGATTAGCCTTAAACTATGCTCTGATATAAAACTTATTAAGAACCCTAAAAGAGAAAGAATTCTAAAAAAAACAATTAGAATACTTCTGTAAATAATTTGTCTGTGAAAAATCCAATTTTAAAGAGAATAATAAATCATTAGTTCACGAAAATAAATTTAACAGAAATTGATGTTATTGAAAAAGAACTAAACTGTCATAAAAATAATTTTGAAAGATATTCCCAATGAGATATTCCTTCCTATTCAAAAAATATTGAAGAGAAAAAGAAACATAGAGAAAAAGACATCAAATGTTTTTTATGCAAAAAATTTGAGCATTATTCTAATAAATGTCCTTTAAGAAAAAAACTAAATGAATTACAAATTGATGAAGTATCAAAACAAACTTTAATGAAACTATTGTTAGATTTTTCTAAATCCAATGCATCTTATAGTGAAAAAGGCTCTACCTCTAATTCTATTTATAGTTCTTATAATGAAGAACAATCTTGTTGTAGAAAATATAGTGATAATAATGATTATAAATCAATTATCAAAATGTGTGGTTTATTCACTTTATGAGATGAACAAAAAGATCAATTAGTTAAAATGTTAACTAATATTTCTAATTTTAAAACAAAAGAAAAACATTGGATATTTTAAATAAAAAGAAGAAAGAACCCACTTTAAATGAATTTCCGATATACAACATGATGGATGTTTATAATCGTATGTCAGCAATGCATACATCCTCTCAAAAGAACATATCAGATCTAAAAAATAAAATTAATAATCTTAATGAAAAAATTAGTCAAATAAAATTATTCCAACAAAAAATGAATCAGAGATTAATAGCCCTTGAAATTACTAATGAAGATATAGAAAAAGAGTAATCTCCAAACATAAATAAAATATATTTAGTTAATAATACTGAAATGTTAATTTCTCTTCAAAAGCAATCATTCAAAAATGGTCCCATCTCTATAAAACTAAATATTAATCAAGCCTATATATTTCTCTCATTCACAGCTTTACTTGACTCTGGAGCAGATATGAATTGTATTCTAGAATGTATTGTTCCTTCTAAATATTTTGAAAAAAATTACTCAGAGATTGACTTCTGCTAGTGATAATAGAATGAAAATTGAATATAAATTATCTAACACGGCAATCTGTAAAGATGAATATTGTATTCCTATACCATTCTTATCAGTTAAATATTTGTCTCAACATATGATATTTCGAACTCCATTCTTAAATCAAATAATGCCCATAAAAAAACTACTTCATGGGAATTATTTTTGAAAAAAATACTACACAATTAAAATATCAGTCTATTACCAATCCAAAAGAGATAAAAATTAACAAAATGGATAGAATCAAACAAGAAACCGTGCATATTAATTCTTTACAAGAAGAAATTAATATTAAGAGAATCAAAGAATGACTTCGGAATGAGAAAATACAAAACCAAATAAACAAAATTCGACATGACTTGCAAAATGAAATTTATGGAGATAATCATATTCCTTTTTGGCAATAGAATTACCTCATGAAGATGACTTTTTAAATTTGTAGTGACTTTCTAGGAAGATGACTTTTATGGATGAGGAACATCGTTATGAAACATACTTTTTTGGAAGTCCAGTTTTTTGTTGTAATGAATATTAGGGTTTGTTTGGGGCAGTTGCAGCTTTTTGAATAATCTATTGATAAACTGATTAAAAATAATCTGTTGATAAGCTAGGTGCGGTGGCTGTTATCAGGCGAGTGACTATTGCAAATTTTTAGTTTTTTGGAAAAACCAGACCGCTGCCAGAAAGCTGGTGCGGTGTGAAAACGCTGTTTTCTGCTTTTTCAAAACGTATAAGCTGTCAAAACTCAGTTTACCCAAACAGTCCAGGTGCGTTATCAAAACTCCACCGCACCAAATAAGCTGTCCCAAACGGACCCTAAGTGTGCTTGTGGAACTTTTGTCTCCTACAGTCTGTCAGTTATTTTAATAATTGTTACAGTGCTATTTTATTTTAATTATTGCGAGTTTATTTCTGGAGCAAATTGGTAAAATAAACATGTTAGCATGTAAAATAAACATTTTTAAATTATATATTAAAGAGAAAGATAACGTAGTTTTAATTTCAATATATAAAGTTAAAGTTTTAATATACATATATATAAACTGTACATTTATATATATATGCATATATTAAAATAAGATAACGGAGTGTTAATTTTAAAATGTAAAGTAAACATTTTAATATACATGTCCGTAAAGTAAACATTACCACTAGTTGGTGTAAATTTTATATGTATTTGAAATTAATTCAATTTCAATGTATTTGGAATTTGTTAGAATTGAGTAAATAAGGCAAATCTAAAATAAGCCAACAAGATAATTCTAGAACCCACTTTCTCTGAAATTTTGAAGATAATGATATATAATCAATTAAAATTTATGGTCTATAAAATAAGTATTATAAATATATTAATCATTCTTATAAAGTTTTAGCTGAAATTCAACACAAACGTTATGATACTAATCGTCAAGAGTCATTCGGGTCGGGCTAGACAAGCTATTTTAGGGTGCGTTTCAAAATAAGTAGCTTGTCCTGAAATGCGGCCGGCGGGTCGACCCGCGGTCTGCGTTTAGTGTAAAAATGGAACTGTGTTTTCGGATAAGCGGGCAAAATGCACGAACAAACGATACCGCGACATTTTCAAAAATGCTCCCGCACTTATAAGCTGCCCCAAACGGGCCCTTTCCATTAAATCTAGCTAACCCAAGGGCTAGGCTCGAGTCAACGATGGCAAATATTTCATCGGCAAAGTATTTTCTTTATTTGTATTTCACCACCAATCAATAAAATTATTTAGTCAAAACCGACAAAAAATTACTTCTCCGTTTTCCCTTAAATTTACAAACGTAAGGATGTCATGTACTCTCCCTTGAGAAATAATCTACTATCCTCTCTCTCTTTGTAATCCTTGACACAGTCCCACAAATGAAACATTTTCATAATACCCCCCTATTAATTAAAATTGATTACATTAGTGTACACCCAAAAATGCCGTCTTAAGACTATAAGTGATGCGGATAGATAGGACCCACTGGAAAAGCAACACGAAAGAGTCCCACTAGCCAGCCACCAACTAGAGAAAATATTGGTCCGGAGTACTCCGTATGCGAGCTACGTCCAGGTAACGGACGTCCAGGTAACGGACGTGATACAGATAATAGAGATTCGAGCACAATATTTTTTCCACGCTAAGTAGCCCAGGAAAGAATTTACAATTCTACGCTTTCTTCCTCAAAACATATTTAATATTGGACGTACCAAAACATTAAATAAATAAAATAAGGACGTCTCGTTGGAAAAACCCATTGTTGGTCAAACATGTTGCTCCATCCGGTATGCCTATTTATGGTCATATAGCTAATGCTTACTTCACTCCAAACATGGCTGTTATCTTCCTCATCTGCGTTCTCTTCTTCCCACTGCTCCTGCTTTCAACTCTGTTCCTAACCTCCGATCGCCACCGGTCATCACTGCCTCCCGGTCCAAAAGACTGGTTTTTGCTGGGACATCTCCTCCAACTGGGCACCAAGCCACACCAAACCCTTCGTGCTCTAGCCAAATCTCATGGCTCCGCTGGCCTCCTCCGTCTCCGCTTAGGTACCGTCGATGTCATCGTCATATCTTCCGCCTCGGCGGCGGCCAAATGCTTTCGCGGCCACGATGCCAAACTCAGCAGCCGGCCCCCGAATTCCGTGGGCAAGCACATAACATACAACTTCCAGGACATCATAATGGCGCCCTACGGGCCGCGGTGGCGGATGCTAAGAAAGCTCTGCTCCATGCATCTGTTCTCAAGTAAATCTTTGGATGGCCTGCAACACGTGCGGGACGAGGAAGCGGCGAGGCTCGTGCTGGAATTGGCTTCGGGGAGGGAGGCGGCGGTTGATGTCGGAGGGGTTGTCAACACTTGTGTAACGAATGCTTTGGCACGTGTGTTGGTCGGACGGCGAGTGATCGTCGAGGGCGAGGAGGCTGCGAAGTTCAAGGAAATGACGGCGGAGATGGCGAGGCTCGCCGGAGAATTCAATGTCGGAGATTTTGTGCCGGGGATCGACTGGCTTGACCTTCAGGCATGCCTTCAACTCATCTCAGTTCCTGCCTCACTAGTCACTACAATCAAATTTCTAATTGTTTGCAAGCACACACTCAAATAATCTAGTATTTACATTTGTAACCACATACTAAAAATTAAACAGTAAATTTTCCCATAAATTTATTAGTTAGAATTTAAATTAGCGACAAATTAAAATTTTAGGTATAGTTTATAATTAAGGATTGAGAAATTATTACCCTCATTTTAATTGAATATATAAATATTTTTTATTTATGATTTTTAGGGTTTGAACAAAAAGATGAAGAAAGTCCGTGAAAGATTTGGGGAATTTTTGGAAAAGATAATTGATGAGCACCGTTCGATTGGCTTCAATCATCAGACTAGAGATTTTTTAAGCCTGCTTATTGAGATGAAAGATAGTGCAAAAGAGGAGTTCGCCGATATCAACATCAAAGCTTTGCTTCAGGTTTTCTTCATCTTAATTATTTATTTATTTGTAATTTTCAAAAAAATTTAGATGATTTTAATGATATAACTCTTACAATTATATTATTTTTAGTTCATTCGTGTTATTTAATTTATTATTTTGGGTTTTTGTAGGATATGTTCATTGCAGGGACTGAAACTACTTCAATTACAGTAGAATGGATATTAGCGGAGCTCATTCGTCACCCAAAGATCCTTGCTCGAGCCCAACATGAGCTCGACTCTATAGTCGGTCGCGATCGTTTGATTAATGAGTCGGACCTGTCAAAATTTTCCTTCCTCCATGCTATTGTCAAGGAGACCTTCAGGCTACATCCTCCAGTCCCCCTCTCTGTCCCTCGCATGACAACCGAAGACTCATGGATCGATGGCTATCTGATTCCAAAAGGCGTTACTTTGCTTATTAATATTTGGGCTATTGGCCGTGATCCCGTCACTTGGCCCAGCGATCCTAACAAATTTAATCCCGATCGTTTTGGCCCGAACTCGCCACATATGAATGTGGATGCCAAAGGGAATGACTTTGAGTTAATACCATTCGGTGCTGGGCGAAGAATGTGTGCAGGGATGAATCTTGGTCTTCGTATGGTTCATCTCATGACGGCTATATTGTTGCATTCTTTTGACTGGGCTTTGCCTGATGATCGTACGGCCAATATCTTGGACATGGAGGAGAGCTGCGGGGCGACCATGCACAAGGCAATGCCACTTGTGGCAAAAGCAGTGCCAAGACTCTCACCTCAAGCTTATCTTTAAGATTTGATTGCACCCAACATTAATTTTATATGAAATACCTTGGTCAAAATGATGATTCATAAAATAAATTGTGTGTAACGTTGAACTAGCTTTGATTTTTTATTTAATTACAATATAGATTGGGCGTATTTGAAATTTGATAATTGTCTTTTTTTTTCTTAATTCATATTTTTTATTTGATCATTTGACTACATAATTGGGTCGAATAGACATCTATTCTCTTGTATATAGCTTGATTGATATCTGGAAGATTGTTAATTATTACTACGTGTCTTATATTTTGGCTTTTCTACTTATTATATGTTGCATAAATATCTAAAAATATGGGTGGACGTTAATTTCATAAATTATCAGATTTTAATCATAACAAAACAACCATTCCATTGTTGGCATCATTTTTTTGATGTCTTTCATGACCGACACATGTTTTTAGTGTCAAGTGACTGTATTTTGCAATATGTATGTTTCTCTGACTCAAAACATCGACTAAAATCACTTCGTGCACGAATCGGCTCAAACTGTCTTGACCGTCGACTAATTTGTTCAAATGACCTCTGATTTATCTAGGAATGACCCACATATTGTTAGGATTAAGTGCACAAACTAGAAACAATAAAATTGAGAAATTTATTTAAAAAAAGAGAAAAACGATATAGTAACTAAGGTTCAGAAAATCAGATCGGAAGTTGAACTGGTAGAAGAGAAGGTTTAAGGTTCAACGGTTGAACTAAATTTGAACTTAGATAAAAAATTTGTCATCGTGTTGTCTTTTGTGCCCTGCTAATCCTCGTTTCGCATTTGCTCGGCTTTGTTCTGCGACACTTGTGATGAGGGTTTCCCGACGTTTGCTTCTTCTTCCAGTATCATCTATCCCTTATATTTTCTTTGTGGATTTACTCTGTTAGTCGTATTGGTTTGTATAGAGTTTCTTGGTGGATTTGCTTGATAGGTTTCTTGTGTTCTTTGCGTAGCATCGATTTTTCTAGATTTTTACATTCAAAATTGGGGTGGTCTCGACTGTTGATGCTTCATTTTCGATGTTTAAGTTGGAATTTGGTGTTGGATTTGAGTGAGAATTGGAGAAGAAGAAGAGGCCTGATGGGGGGTTGGTTTCGGCTGTTGTTTCTATTTTCTAAAACTATGAATGGTTTTTTTTTTTTTTTAATTGATGCAAGAAGCAGTGTGTCGTTGTCTCTTGCAATAAATATGTTTCACATATCAATCTTTTTGGCCGGGTATTATTCTTCATAGTTCTCTTCAGCTTATTCAAAAATCTAAAAAATAAATGTTGCTCAATGCAAATTGTCAATATTAAACGACTGATTAATTATATAGTCCCATTATAATTACCTCTCAAACGAATGCATCTAGCAGTACTGTGTTAGACCTCTAATTAATGTCTCGTGGGATAAATGTACGAGGAGATGTTTCATCGAGTCAAAGAAACTTGGAGGAAATATTCTCTCAAGCTTGTAATAATCTTTACGAATTTAATCCCGATCAATTTGGCCCAAACTTGCTACATATGAATGTTGATGCTAAGGGGAATGACTTTGAGTTAATACCAATCGGTGTTGGGCAAAGATTGTGCAGGGATGTATCTTTGTCTTCATATGGTTCATCTCATGACGAACATATTGTTGCATTCTTTCGATTGGACATTGTCAAATGATCATATGTCCAATATGTTTGCCATGGAGGAGGGCTACGGGGCGGCCATGCACAAGGCAATACCACTTATGGCTGATGCAGTGCCAAAGACTCACACCTCAAACTTATCTTTAATCTAATTATGCATAAAATAGCTTGTTCAAAATGATGACTCATAAAAAAAAATTTGTGTTAATGTTGAGCTAACAAGAGAACCGTCTTCATTTTAATTTAATAATTTTATCTTAACAATTTTAATAATTGAAAAGAAAAAACTAAATTTAGCTATTCTTCTCATCAAAACTAATACTGTCAAGATCAAACTAAGCCCTAAACATTTAATAAAAGACACGTGGCTTATTGCTCTTCTTTCTTTTTTTTATTTTTTATCTTTTATATTTTTTGTGTTTTTATATATTTGTATATATATATATATATAATATGTAAATCTTCCTTATTTATTTTATTAACCGGATTTAAATCAAAATAATGTGTAAATATTATATAAATTTTGAGGTATATAAATTATTTCCCGTTTTAGCCCAAGTATACAACTCTTTCAATTAAAGTACTTTGGAATAGCTTTCAAATTGTCTTTAATTAAAGAGATAAGCAATTGAATGATAATGTTTTTTTATTGTTTTAATAAATTGCTCCCACCTTATCTCATGTGTCTAATCACTCGATCTCAAACTGTAAGGTAAATGCACTCAAACTGGATCAAACCTATGAGCGGCTAAAGAACGTGCGCGCACGCGCGTGTGTGTGTGTATACTTCACACACACACACACACACACACACACACACACACTTATGTATGTACGCTACCAGATGATCTAATGATTGATTATTAGACGTATGTGAATGAGAGATACAACCTTGTTGTGAGATATGTACTTCCTGACATATAAATGAGATGCAAAGAACACAAGCAAACACAGAACGTTTACGTGGTTCGATCCAACAGGATCTACGTCCATGGGAGGGAATCAATTAAATAGTTCACTAAGACAAAAGAAATGGAGAGTACATAGCTTATACATAAAGATGAGCCCTCATCTTCCTTCTATGGCCTCCCTCTCAAACGACACCTTGATACAAGGCCTCAAGATGCTCTCCTCCTCTCTAGCTCTCTAGCTATTCTCTCCTCCTTTGTGGTAGCTTAAGATCTCTTCCTTTGCTCTCCTAAGCCTCACACACTCTCTATTTATAGAAGCAAGAGAGTGGTAGGTGGAAGGTATGTGAGCGATATGTGAGCGGTAGGTGATCAGTATGTGAGATATGGTAGGTGAGCGGTACCATATTACAAAAGTGTCCTTTTACCTTAGTTCAACAATTGTGGGTAATAACAATCTCCACCTTGACCCTTAATTGAGAAACTTCGAAGTAAATATTCCCTTCACCTGGCCTCTGAGGGGCCCTCAGCCCTTGCTTGTGTTTGCTAAGTTCAAACAGTGCATGGACTTAGCAATCACAGTTCTTCCGATAAGAAAGTACACCTGCTTTTTACTGACTCCTTGTATGACGACACGAGGGCCTTTGGTTACTCTGATGCAGTCATTCTCTGCATTGAACGAGCATCTGCTTGACTCCAACGTATATAAAGAAATCAGATTTCTTTTAAGCTCTGGTACATACCTGACATTTTTCAGTACTCGTTCAACTCCATTCGTTCAACTCCATCAAACACTCCATCAAACATCCTTATCTTGATTGATCCACTTCCAACAACCCTGTGAGCTTTATTGTCTCCTAGTAGAATGAACCCATCATTTTCCTGTTGCAGTGTCTTGAACCAGTATTTGTGAGGACACATGTGGAAAGAACACCCTGAGTCGAGGATCCACTCCTTACTAGATTCAGATTCTGTGACCACCAGGCCTTAGCAGAATCATAGTCATCATAGGCTACGCTTGCTTCTCCTGATTCTTCTGGCTCTTCTTGGTACTTATTCTTCATGTCTAGGCAGTTCCTCTTGAAATGACCATCCTTGTGAAAATGATAGCACTTGAAAGATCCACTTGATGACAGATTCTCGCCATCCTTGCTTAACCTTGATCTGTACTGACCATTTCTTGAATCTTTCTTGTCCAATCTTCCTCTGACAATAAGACTGTCTCCGCTGACTTTCTTGTCCCTGTCATGCTTCCTCTGAAGTTGTTTAGCTCTAATCAGAGATTGAACCTCCTCCAGAGTAATAGTCTGCACTCTTCCCTAGAGCATCGCATCCTTGAAATGCTCGTAGCTCTTAGGAATAGAGTTTAGCAACAGCAATGTCTTGTCCTCATCGTCCATCTTGACGTCAATTTTCTTGAGGTCATCAATGATCTTGTTGAACTCGTCGATCTGCTCTGAGACAGATTTGTCTTCATGCATTTTGAAAAAGTATAGGCGCTGCTTCAGAAAGATTCTATTAGCCAAAGACTTTGTCAGGTAGAGTACCTCGAGTTTGGCCCAAAGTGCTTTAGCCGTTGTCTCCCTCGACACCTCCCTCAGAACTTTGTCGCCTAAGCTCAGGATTATCAAACTGTGGGTCTTGTCCAATATGTCAATCTTCTCCTTCTCTGTCATGTCGGCCGACAATCCCGCCGACCCTTGCAAGGCTTCTGCAACACCCTGTTGAACCAATAGAGCTCTCATCTTTACTCTTCATAGGCCGAAGTCATTCTTTCAGTTGAATTTCTCAATGTCAAATTTGGCGGAACTCATTGTCGTGCCTAGGATTTCTTCCAATGAATTCTACATGCTGCCCTTCCAAGAACTAGGCTGAAATCACCAAAATGTTGTACTTCTCCCCGTGAACTCCACTGCCTTCGCCAACCAAACGGAGAGCTCTGATCCCTTATCACACCTGTTCATTGGAGAAAACTTCTTGTTATGTGCTCTCGCCTCCTTCCCGCAAGCACTCCTCTACGTCAAGCGGAACAAATTAGGAATTCCTCCTCTGCCTCTCGCACGAGAATAACTGCCTCTCGAGGGAACAAATCAGGAATTCCTCCTCTGCCTCTCGCACGAGAATAACTGTCTCTCTAGAGCCGTCGCGCCTCGCCAAACTGCTCAGGTCCTCCTGCTTTGCAAACTCCCGAACAGGGAACTCCCCGAACCCTTCTCTGCGCTATTTCTGCCTCTTCCCTCTGGTTGAGTTGCTCGCAAGACCGAACTCCTGCTCTGAAATCCTCTACTGGCAGCCCTGTCACAAATTTTCAGCCCTTGCTCGCGGGCTGGTCCCCCTCCGTCTCGTCCCACC